AAAGATTGTGTTCTAAACTGGCCCGTTTTACAGCGGATAAACTTTTTACAGAGACTGTCGCGCGACAACCACCTTAATGTAAAATTCAAATCAATTTTGTCTGACAATATTTTCGGAATAGAGTTGAAAAAGAATCGCTTGGTGAAATCTACTACAAAAAAATTTAAATAGGTATTCATCTGAAGTATTTCAATATGAAAAGAATAGTATATTATGCAACAAGTGCGTGATGGGTTTTTCGGCTCGTGGGCGGAGCCGAAGGCGAGTTTTACAATCCCACGAGTCAAAAAATCCATAACGCACGTGTTCCATATACTATTTTATGTCATTGAGACAGTAATCCTCGATTCTAGCAAGCGAAATGATCTTCGAATCGCGTGATTACGGGCACCGATGACATAAAACATTTTTTTAATCTATAGTCTTTCTCCCAAGGGTAATTTACTTTATCTGTCCCAAGTGATTTTTTAATGTTTCTCGTATGAAAAATGTATCCTTTCGCCGAATGCCAAGTTTTATGTCGAAACGACTCTTCATTTGAAAGAGAATAGCGGGACACTCACCTCAATAATCTCTTCATTCTTTCGTGTTTCACGGACACTAATTAATGACTAATTAATGACTAATTAATGACGAATTTTCTGCCATTACGTCAGGTTCAATATACTGATAAATTATTTTTACCGAATATTCAATTATTTTACAAAATTATTTATATTAAAAAGTGACTTATCTATAGTTCAATTGTTTGAAGAGGATTCTAATTAGATATGAATAATGACAATCATGCTCCTCTGGAGGATCATTGTTTTAATTGTTTTTCACGTACGGATTTTCAATAATTTCACCGTTGGAAATAGTGAAATTTTCCACTTCCATTTCACTTGAGATTTTCAGTAAGGAAAGGGGAAAATTCCTGGAGAATTCTTCGTTGACAAATCAATTGATTCCTTGAATATTGTGGTGATTATACATTTTTTGGACCACATCACACTGTAAAACCGTCAAAAATTCTCACGGTTTTTCAGTGCGATGTAAACCTGAAAAACTAGGATTTGAAAATTCAAGCAATAATTTCCCTGAATTTTTAATCTATTGAAAAATCAATTGTATCTGATATAGATTTCTCACGACGAGTCTGAAAACTCAAGATTCCATTGAAAAATTAATTACCAATTAACATGAAAAACGCCATTCATATATTTTGAATTGCGAGGGTAAATGAAAGTTTTAGTAATCGTTTTCAATTTAAATAGAATTCAAACTCATACAATTTAAAATTCCGATGACTTTGTGATTGAAATTTCAATAAATTTTGTATAAACAAGCAGGGAGCAATTTTTCTCAACAAATGATAGACTGGATTTTGTTTTATTTCGCTCTTGCGATTTGGAGGTTGCATAAACAATCTTGTTAGACTATCTATTGAGACTTCCCAATCTTCGGGAGATTGATTGAAGAATGAGAAGAATAGGGAAAAGGAATGAATTCTCCTTTTCCTTTTTTGCCTCGAAATCTTCATAGAATTGGATTCGATTCGAATCCGATAAATACACCAAAAGTGCTTCAAAATAATTCTGATATTTTCCCCAAATTTCCATGCTATCAACCGAACGTGTCGAATTCTGTGTGCTTATTTCTCCGATTTGTGTTTGCGATTTTGAACTTGTAAAATTTGACACTCTTGTTGATTTGCAACCAGATTATCGGAAAATACCCGATTATTTTATAACACTCGGATTATTACTACTTAATATTCTCAATTGGAGGAAACAATTGAGATCTTGTGAATCAGGGACACGTGAATGATTCGAGAATAATGGTAATGATTGAACGTCGCGTGATGGCAGTGAATTCATCGGGTAAATCGCATCACTTGAATTCAATCCACGAGACCAATTCTATCTCATAATTGTGGATAAAACAGTAATTTTGCCTGGCATCAATTACGACTAACCATTATTCACTGATGATTAAATTTCCATTAAAATATGTTGATTTTTTACTGTCAGTCAAATGCTGCTTACAAATTCAAATGATTTTCCCGTAAATCATTATCTAAAGATTGATGAGTTTTTGTCATTTGAAAATAAAAATAATTGCATTAGGGAGTAGACAAAAAGGATTAGCATTGCTGGTGGAGTTATTACACTAAAATGTAATGTAATTATCTGCTGAGATTTTAGAATAGGATAATCATGAATTAATGGAAATTAATCATAATTAATGGAATTTGTAATTTCAGTGATTCTCTTCACATTTATTTATTTACCTGAGATCATTATATCGTAAGATATAACGATATAAGATGAAAAGAATATAATGAAAAAGACCAATCACACTTCGAATAATTACCCGCTAATTCTACTTTTCTATTTGGCATTGAGGAATTATTTGATGGTCATTAGGTATAATTTAGAACTGACAGTAATCGTTGTCCGAGATGATAATGATAATCATATTTTTTTTTGTCTGACGTAGGGATAATCATCCAATTTTTTATGTGAGATGCGTGAAGCTGAAAATCATGACTTATCGATTTCTTTTATTGTTGTTAATAAATTAGCATTTCGGAATGGATATGTCTTTCAATAATCATTCTAATTATTATATTCACTTGAACATTTTGTAATTATCGTATAATTGTAGTGAATATTCTTATGAATGAATTGAGCAAAAAATCGCATGTTTGAATTTTTAGATCACATTTAATTGCCCTTGCAAAAAATTGTTGTTAATAAATTGGCATTTCGGAATAGATATGTCTTTTGATAATCATTCTAATTATTATATTCACTTGAACATTTTGTAATTATTGTATAATTGTAGTGAATATTCTTATGAATGAATTGAGCAAAAAATCGCATATTTGGATTTTTAGATCACATTTAATTACCCTTGCAAAAAAATAGAAACTTAAACCTGAACGAATAAAAAACGAATAAAAAACTTGGAAGTGTTAACAATCTAGAAAGCCCGGGAGAAACGTCGATTATTCTTTTTTATCGTCTGGACTCGAAGACAATATTCTCAGACAAATAATATTTTTTGTCCCCTCGACCTAGAACTTGACCTCGAATTGTGGAACGATGTTTGTCTTTGATTCACTTCGGTCAATACTCGTCGAGAGAGATAAATGGAGATTTGTCATTGAACAATGAACAACAGACAATCGGTCATTGTTATTCATTTTTAGGGTGAAAATACGAGTGTAAAGACGAATGAATATTTAGAGGCTAATTATTCAATGGTGAAGGCCAAGTCCATTTTTTATGTTTTGATCAATATGAAAATTATTCTCATGAGGGGCCATATTTGAGAAAAAGTTTATTCATCTACTTTACAGACTCGTTTTTTCTTTTAATAGAATAATCTAGCTCGAATGAGTCATCGTGGAACAAAATAATGACTTAGTAATCAATTCAGGACAGAACAATTAAACATCAACACTAAATTTCACATTTATGATATTATTTAACCCTCGTTGACGTGAGGCTTCGTTAATAAATAATGAGATGTCGATTACTGGGCAAGAAAACTGATACGTAATCGCCTGAGGTATTATTCGATAATATTTCAATTACAATGACGTCTTTTCTTATGATGGAAATTCACTTGGAATGATGAATTAGAATATTTTTAGATTTACCCTAGCTTGAGGTTGTCACATAAGGACAAGTGAAACACCTCGAGAATTAGAAAAGACCTCCTGTAGAATTGTCCTAGACGCACAATAACTTTTGATGAATTATCCTCACGCGACAATTACTGGACGCTCTAGTGCTCAAAGGATATTGTTTAATCATAATTATTTACGGTGTTAAGTGTCAGTTTTCATGCACCACCTAAACTACCCTGTAAATTTTTCATAAATTATATTCACTCCATCACCAGAATTTCTCGTGAAGTTGGAGAGTACAGATAACATGATGATCTTTTATATAAATTTAAACAAATGGTATGTCAGGCGTCGAGCTTGTGGCTTAAATAATATCTCAAGTATCTACCACCTCAAACTCAAATTAAAAATTAAAAGCTTGAAATCCTTCTGATCCTGACAATCGAGTCCTGCTATATTGACCCTCAAAGCTTTCGTGATAATGAAGAAAGAAGCAAACTTCAATTCAAGTTGAACCGTCAGTAGGTGAACGCATCGAACCATTCAATCTATTTAAAATTTAAATTAAGTACTCAATAACTGTAAATATGCAGGTGAATCAATTTCGAATTAACTGAAATCACTATCAAACAACTATTTGATATTATTGTATTAAACAATATTGGTTTTTTAATGTTTAATTGTTTCTCAATATGTAAAACAATTAAACGATAAAAACAAAATCCCATAAAATCGAATTATGAATCGGACTAGAAAACCGTGGAAATATTCAATTGAAGTGAACTGGCAATTAGAAAATGAAGACTACATTATTAAAATCTTTCCGAATTCATGAATGATCCGACATGGAAAAATTTCAATATTCAGAAATATATTTCAATTATATTTGAATATATCTCGCATATATTCCGGCGAAAAATGCATTATCTATGTAGATATAAATGTCACCGCTTATATTGAAGATATATTCCTATTCTAAAAGGGACACGCTTCAGATATTACTGACACAATCGATTATCTCGAAAATCTCGAAATCATAAAGCCATGATTCCTTATTGGTCCACCTAAAGTGGCGCGAGATTATAAAGTTACAACTCTCTTACAGGAATCGTTTAATACTCGCGCGCTGGCGCGCGGTACGGTCTCTCGTCAAAATATAAATTGAATACATATTCCTATATACTATATTTCTATCTATAAAAGGTTATGTACCAAAATTAAGTAGTCGAGAGTAAGATTTCGGCTAACTTCATGCGTAAGACTTTTCATGTGTAACCCCATTTCTTATTGGCCATTCCGAATAAAACTCATTTCTCATTGGTCAATTGGTAATGTCATCACCAACACAACGGAATCAAATGGCGCGCTCAGCGGCCACGTTGCGTGTTGTTAAAATATAATTCCGGCGAAAAAAATATATCTCAGTTATAATTTTTGCATGGTAGGTATCTTTTTCCACGCGAGATAAACATTAAGGTATTTGTCGTTAATGCTTGTTAAAAAATTTTTTGCTTGTTAAAGAATTTTTAGTTGAAGGTTTATTATGTCTGAGAGAGAATTTTCTTAAATCAAGTTATAGGAGATCTACTGCGCACTCCGTGCGCCGAATTTGAATTTGGCGGTTCGAGTTGACCAATGAGAACTTAGTCCTAAGCGTTTCGAGATTTTTCGACTCGGGCGAACTTCATTTTTGTGTTTCTACATTCATAATAAGGATAGGTATCACCGCGGTAAAAAATTTTATTCACCCACGACGCATTTGATGGAATGGGTGGTCAGTTATTATTTCGGATAGTTTTCAGATATTTTCCTGGTTATTACCAAGTAATAAATTTATTTTCTAAAACATTTGGAGGGTCTGATAAAACTTCACAACTGCCAAACTCCAATACCATATAATCACCAAATTAAAAAAATCAAAAATGAAATAGAAATTACTGAAAAATGAAAAATTAGTAATTTATGCTAGAAAAGCTGAAAAGTATTTTGGGAACGTATTTTATCAGAATCCGCGCTGAGGGCGTGTGGTATATGTTACTGTACCGTATACTTTATGGTACGGGGCACGACCAACCGAGTATTTTTGTTGCTAACTGTTGATCAACAGATCGGGTAAAATATTACGTTATTATTTTAACAATAAATCGAGTCATTTCTCAAATTAAACTAAATTGACCGTGAAATAATTCACTAAATACTCCTCGAGCTTCAAAATGAATGCGAAATTTATTTATTTTCATAAGTTTTGGGAAAAAATCGCCCTCGCACGTGCTCGGAATCATTCCACCGGCAAAACCTGAAAGAATTATTTGTTTGCTTTGGGGTATTACTACTAATAAATCAACAATTAATAAAAATATTCAGTCGGACATATTATGTGTTTAGTTTACAGAATTACTGTAGTTCTTCGGGCTTTTTACTTTCCAAAGTGGGCCATCGACTCGCAATTGAACGACCCGGCGACAATATAACCGAATGAAAAAATAAACATGAGAACTGTGGGTACGATTGAGTCTCGTGTATAATAGAAGCAATGATAAAATTTGTATGCAAGCAAGTGAGGGCGGTTGCGCATTACGAAATCCACACCTTGACCACTTATTTCCCCAGGTCATCGTATTACATTTGATCCAAACTAATTGATTTCGATTATATCCACGAGATTATCCATCCTTTCGTATTGGTTCAATAATTATAAAAGAGTATATAAAAAATATCCAACACTTAGCCAATTCTGTATATTTTTCAAATTTATAGAAGATGTTTAAAATATTTATGCAAACCACATGCTTCATATATTTTCATTATATAAATTCGGCTAAGAGATCGTTCTGATATTTTTTTTTATCAAAATTTTTACAATCGAGTAACAGATTTAATAAAATTGCACACGAATTTTCAATAACTTTCTTAATGACTCTACGGTAGTTGAAAAATTAAGGACAATTTGAATCTTTAAACGATAATGAATAAATTCCTAAAGGATTTATTCGAGGCAGATAGATTAAATTGAATATTTTTCTAATTATTGGTTGTAATTATTTCCCAAATTACAGATGGGAGTAGCTAGTTGTTTTCAGAACTACTACTGTTTGGGACGTACATTAGAACTTCAAATTGTGAAGCTAAAATAACGGCAAAAAATGTGAGAAAGAGGAAACAAAGGGGTCTTTGCTTACCCGCGTAAGTACTCTTGGAGCTCTCGTGAAGTTTGAAGGTGAACGGTATGTGGACCTTCATCATCTTCATTTGTGGAATTCTAGGTGAGTGCGACATGACTCCGCCATTGCCTCCAAACATGAGGTCATCCCCATGTACTCTGAGGACCATCATGTTCCTGTAAAAAAGAATAGTACTCTTTAAAAACGCATTCAATAATTAATTAGTTAGAGTAACAATTACGTCAATTCCTGACAAAAATTAATTTATCAGATTTATCATTTCAATCCGCTCCTCGAGATGATGAATTCACCACGGAAATCATTTAAGCTACTGATGCCAGCCAATTTCATGACATGTCATATTGACCGTCAATCACCTAGCAATGACTGATTCCTGTCATATGAAAAAAATGAATGATTTATCTTACGATGATCATCTCGCATCTGAATAGTCACGCTTCTTCAGGTGAATTCAGGTTATCACGTCGATAAAAACTAATTTATGAACTAAAAAAAATAGTTGAATCAAGTATTATTTTATATTCCATTCCAGTGTATCCTCAACTATTTAAATTTGAAAGCACCCGCAAGATGGTAATTCTATGACGATCCTAACACCTCACTTCACTCCTCATATTATTTTGAATGTTTACATTCTACAACTATGTTGTTGCTCTTTTGTTTGTTTTGGTGGTAAGTCTCCGTGGAATTCCGCGGAATATTTTATTAACCGCTGAATATAAAAAATTGATTAGGTGTTGCCAATACGTGTAGTGAAGAAAACGTCAGAATTCAAGTTCGAAAAACTGTTTGAAAATCATTAAAATGACTTGTGCTTTTACTTTTAAAATGACAATATGGTATAGACTAGAATCAAGGATATTTTTTTGCTCTGTATGAAAAAATAATAATTTTTTGGTGATCAATCATGAGGAAAAATGACAAAACCCGACACAATTTCGTGACGAAAACTAGATGATCGTCATGTCGCTTCTATATAGATAATTTCTCAATGAAAAAATTTTATTGTACGGTTATATTGACAAGAGTAGACATGACGTAAAAGAGACGGTCACACAAACGGTCAGATTGCTGTTATCTGACAGTTTCTCATTTGCGACATCACTCACAGCTCTAATTTAATCCTAACAATTTATTTAATGTGATTTCTGCAGTAAGAGGAAAAACAATATTTTTTGTTTCATCGACTTTATAAATTACCTTTACGCCTTCGCTAATGAATTGTTTTATATTTCAGTAGTGAAGTTGGTGAACGAGGTCAGTCAACTTGGCTTGACGGTCACATTTTCATGAATATTTCTTAGAAAGACCTTGCTTACAGTGTCAAATTGTAGCTTCAGCCTGACCCAAAAGCACGTGAGCAAAGACAATTGCGTATGATCTTATATTTATGATCTTATATTTTTTTGAAGGCTTCTTACGGAAAAATAACAATTCCTTCACCGCCGATTTGATATTT